CCTATAGGATATATAATGTATATACAGCTAGATTGTGATAACTTGCTACAATTATTAAGCTGTTTGATGTGTGAAATACTTCCACATGGAATTATGTAGTTTGGCTTGTTGTGCATTTGCAGCGTTTATTACCACTTAAGTAAAGAGAGAAGATAGTCATCCTTTACTTACCCCTTAAGTAAAGAGAGAAACTAGACATCCTTGATCTTGAAAGTTGAATAATAGCCATTATTGGACATAAGAAGATGTGGGTTGTTGGGTGAATGTTTGCAGAAAATTATCAGCAGTTCAAGTATGTGGTAAATTATCTTTGATATTTAATAGGAAAGGGATGAAACTCCACAAGTTTTGACTTTCTAGATGCTAACTTGATTATTCTCTCTCCCATTACTTTATGTTGTTTTGAGGCTTTTTAAGTTATTTTTCTTACTTCTGTGCTTTAATCAAACCCTGTTACACACTGCAGCAAGCTAAGAGTGAGGCTGCAGCTGCATTTGGAAATGATGGGGTTTATTTGGAAAAGTACATCCAGAATCCAAGGCATATTGAGTTCCAGGTACGGTTATCAGATAGTGTAGATAGCTACATATTAAAATTGTAGTATACTTCTAAGTTCTGTTTATCTTGGTCTACTCACTTTTAACACGAATATGCTAGTTGAGAGTCTTATTTGCAGAATTTATGATCTTCTAAACCTTTCTATCTTTATCTTATTTAGTCAAAAGATATTCATTTACTGTGCTGTTTGACGAGAAACTTCAATTTTTGTAATCTACATGACTTTATATTTCTATGAGATTCTTAGACAAGATGTTGTGCATCATCCAATTTAATTTAAAAAATTGTGTTGTTCGCAGGTTCTTGCTGATAAGTATGGAAATGTTGTCCATTTTGGGGAGCGTGATTGCAGTATCCAGGTACTTTTACACAGAGATTTACATCCAAGAAAGCTTATGCAAGTTATATATAGGTTAGACCTTGATTTTAAAGCCGACAATGATGTAGATCTACCAATCTGGCTCTTACAGTGAACAATAATTTGCTCTTTTGAATTTTGTTGAACGAGTGAAAAGCTGGACGCTTCTTTGTGAATTTTTGGCCTAATATCTTCCATGTGCCTCTAGAGTGCCCTTTTTTCAAATTCACGAATATTTTAATAAAATCAGTTACAAAGGACAAAGAGTGTGCTGAAATAAATACTGGGTATCTATGCTTAAGCATGAGAGCCTGTGACAGTGGGTATGATTCCACCAGCATCAACTTAAACCATCACTATGATTTACTACATTTTTCTCTGCGCATATAGAAATCTTTTCTTCCCTTTGTCTAACTGAGAATTTTCTAGTTCCTCAATAATTCTTCACTTTTAGTTGTGTAAATATCTTAACGGCCTTTGATTCCTTTGACAGAGAAGAAACCAAAAACTTCTTGAGGAAGCTCCATCTCCTGCTTTAACCCCAGAATTGCGTAAAGCAATGGGTGATGCAGCGGTAGCAGCTGCAGCATCTATAGGTTATATTGGTGTTGGCACCGTGGAATTTCTATTAGACGAAAGAGGTTCATTCTACTTCATGGAAATGAACACCAGGATCCAGGTTGAGCACCCTGTTACTGAAATGATTTCTTCAACTGATTTGATTGAAGAGCAAATCCGTGTTGCTCTTGGAGAGAGATTAACATACAAGCAGGTAAATAATTTGTTTACAGTTTGGTTTTGACAGTTAGTATAGGTTGGCTCTACTAATACTTCAGGCTTTGCCTTTTATAGGAGGATATTGTTCTTAGGGGGCATTCGATTGAGTGCCGTATAAATGCAGAGGATGCCTTTAAAGGGTTCCGGCCAGGGCCAGGTATTCCCTTGTTGATAAATGTCTTTTCATAATCAGAAGTTTGCGTGGATTTATATTTCTTTCTTTTTATCTCTGAAGTCTTGTTATATAATAATGTAAAATATGGTATTAAAAGGATCTTATAAGAATGTCAATTATGTACGTATTGGGTACAAAAAGGTTATGTACTATTGTCCCTAAATTTTCTTCTGGTGTATATATCTTCATGATGTGGTGTATAGTTTTGATAATGAAATTTGCAACTTCGAAGATGCAAATTGGAAGTTGCAAATTTACTAAAATCTCTAATCATGTTCCGTAATATATGTAGATGTGGACTATGAGTAGAAATAGAAGAGATAGAAAGAGAAGGAAAAAATAGGTTTGCAACATATTTGAGAAGAGGATTTGTAAGAAAAGAGTAAGTCATGGAACAAGATACATCAATTTGCCTATTAATGATCCTTTTTCCCCTTATCAAATAGTTTTTTCCCCATTGTTAATCTCTCACAAATTTTTCCTGTTTTAATGTTTTTTTTAATTCTATGTCAGGGAGGATCACTGCATATTTGCCTTCAGGAGGTCCATTTGTAAGAATGGACAGTCATATTTATCCAGATTATGTTGTTCCCCCGAGCTATGACTCCCTATTAGGAAAGGTGCATTTTCTTGGTCCTCACTTTGTGTAATTCATTGTCTACCTCATAATTTTTTTATATCTGCATTATACATATATCATATTAATGAGGCTTATATCCTATATTTTTCTGAACGAGAAAACAAGTTTAATAGCTGAAGTTCTAATTATTTTCTTTTTGTTGTGATTTAGCTTATTGTGTGGGCTCCAACTAGGGAGAAGGCCATCGAACGAATGAAAAGAGCTCTTGATGACACTGTTATTACAGGTTTGATATCTTCTCATGAATTGTTAAATTAGATCATTTTCAGAGCTAAACTTTTTCATGACATCATCAGAGGGACGTCCTTATTTTGTGATGATCTTGGCTTTTTCCTTTCAAATCTTTGTTACATTATCATAATGTTATCTTATGTCGTCATCAACCAAGATTTATCCCAACAAATAGGGATTACCATGTAGCACAAGGCTCCATCAAAATGTTATCATCTATCAATTAATTTTGTTAGTATTACCATTAGTTTTTTGACGAACAGATTGTCACCACATTTCTGCATTACGGTTCATTTTCTCTTTTTGAAAGAAAATATCTATTTTCTAGAAGATTATGGTCAATTTCCAACTGTTCTTCTTGAGACAAATATGGATGCAATCCAAGGGCTTGAACTTTTGTGCTTAAACTAAGATTCGGACTCCATCTAGTAACTTGCCAAAGTTGCAGCTAACCTTCAAAATTATACCCTTGTTTTAGAGAACCATAAACCTTCTGCCAAATGTTACATATATGTGTAACATGTACGAGGATATATGGAGGATGTAGAAAACTGTACCCATTACTCTTCACTATGTTTACATTCAAAGGGATTTCAAATCTTGAAGGGTAAAATTTAACCTTCACCATTTAGTTATGCGAAGGCCTCTTTTGTCTGTAAGAGGGTATTGCAGAGGGTATTGCTAAGTTTTAGAGTGTATAAATACATCCTACTTGTTCATACAAGTACACATGTACATGTACATCTAGATATTTTTTACTTGTATTGTTTTGACATTGCTTGTTCATGTACTTCCACTATTTTTTACTTGTATGTTTTGATATTGCTTGTTTGATGATCTCTGGTTCATTCCTTTTTGCAGGAATCCCTACAACAATTGATTACCATAAACTAATCCTTGATATCGAGGTATGAAATTCTTTAACCTTTCTTTGCTTATATTCTTGCTTAACAAGGCTTATGTAGATTCGAAAACCATCACCATCAAATAAATTTGCTGTTATCTAATACTTCTATTCTTGCTTATCGGACTGCAGGACTTTAGAGATGGAAAGGTTGATACTGCATTCATACCTAAGCATGAGAATGAATTGGCTGCTGTGACTGTGAGTATCAAATAGTTCACTGAAATTTACCCTATTCTGTTTTTTTTAAATCCTAGTGAGAAATTGACCATACTCTTTGCAATGCAGCCACAAAAAATAGTGGTAGCCACACCGGAGAAAGTGTTAGCTTAGGTGACAGTCTTTATTGCTCAAATCTTTGAGGCTAATGAGAGTAACCACGACGATGGACAATTTCCCCTATTTGGTTTTCACCTTTAAATTGTTCAAGAAAGTCTTTGAAATAGTTGTAATATGTTTCATGGTCAAGTCATTTGAACCCTCTTCTTTTTTATCAGATTACACTGCAATTTTGTGAACCCTTTTTTCTTTTTTTTTTGGTAAGATCATTGAAAGAAATATGATGTTTCTGTGTATTGGTTGGTCCAAATTTGGGTTTAATACAATAATATGTTGATGTAAATATCTTGGGTGATATCTTAATCTTTACATTTAAGTATGGATGCCAATGGATAATTTAGACATGTACAAGCACAAGATCAAAAATTCCTACAGGTAGGATGAAAGCATTGTACTTTGCCATGTCTTGAAGTATTTAATTTAATCCAACATGTGAACATGTTAAGTATTTTAAATTTTGTCTTCAAGGAACCAAACAAGTGGATACACCACTTGTTCTGAAGTTGGATGCATGACCATTTTGGATGTCTTTGGTACCCTACAACTCAAGTGCAAAATTCAATTTGAACTCTAAATATTTGCACTTTTGAAGGTTAATAACTCAATTCTTTAGTCATGGTCCCTTATTAGTATCTATATGATTTTAGTCGATATCGAATTAAAAACAATAGGTGTACATAAGTCAGAAATTGCTAAGATTAGTGAAGGTTATTGAAAAAGGTTTAACTTTTTTTCATTTTTTTTATACTGGTTATGGAAATAATATGTGAGATGTTGGAGGTAACTTATATTAACTTAAATAACATTCTTTAAGGTGTCCTAGCCATAATCCACACGAGCCCTCAGCACTCCTCTTTGAGTTATGGATGCTAGATAAAATTTTTAAAAAAATATATTCTTTCGAGCCTTAAAAAAATATCTTTTTGGAAACTATCTTTGTACAACACATTAAATGTGTGAAACATAAAGTGTTAAAGAAAACATTTTGAACACAAAAAAGAAAATTCAACATATTATGCAGCAATAAAGCTACTATTATGAGTAGTCGTTCACTCAAAAAAAATAAAATAAAATAAATGGAGATAAGCTTGGATTAAGTTGTGTGCGCTCCCTCCTGCAACAACTTCGAAGTCACGAATATTATGCAGCAATAAAGCTTGTCTGATCATTTCAGGTTTCTTCATCTTTTGGGCTCCATGTCCAGAGACTCAAAAGATTGACACAATTGGAGACAATTTTATAGGATTCTCCTTTTGCCCCCCAACTGAAAATATAATTATTTCTAGCACCCCATAAAGCCCCCTCGGGAAGACGATATTTACAAAAGAAACCCCCTAGAACTTCTAAAATTTAGTACAGAACCCTCGAATTTCTGGTGATCGATGCATCTTTTGTGAAGTTGATCGTGACACCCTCCATTAACGCTTTACGCACGTGATACATTTATACACAGTGCAGCCACACAAGAGAGCCTGGCCACCAGCGATGCATCATCTTTTTTGAGTTCAAATTCATTTACAAAGCAACACTAGAAAGCAGGCAGTGAGAGATCATCATGAGGCTTGGCAACCAAGAACAGATCGGCCTTCCTCCTTGCCGACGCCCCGAACGACTCCGTCATGTCGAGATCCTCAGGTTTCGTCCCACCGGGAAGCTCCCAGTCGAAGTAGAAGAGGAGGTTCGCGAGGGCGTGCTCCATACCTGGCTCATACCGAACGCCGTTCCCGGTGGCACGCCCTCCTGCGCCGCCGGCCGAACGGCGAGGTAATCGAAGCTTTCCGCCGCCCGCCGAGCGTCACGCCGCCGGGGCGACCATCGCAACCTTCTCTCGGCGCCTTAAAGATCTCTCCGTCTCCCAGCCTACCCTGGGCATAACCTCGCCTTATCGCCACGCGCTTCACCACTAGGCTCTACTGCCCGCGGGGACGTGGTAGCCCATCACGGTCGGGCTCGTTGCACACCCTGGCGATCAGCCAGGGAACGCGGGTGCCAGCCTCAGAGCCTCCTGCATCACTTGTTTCGTGTAGTTCAGGGGTCTCAAGTCTTCCTCTTCGATCCTTTCTCTCCTCTTCAGGATTCGCCTGACCTCCGACTGCGCCTTCTTCATTACCTCCGGGTGTCTCATCAGCTCCGCCATCGTCCATCCCAAGGTCCCGGACACCGTTGAGGTCCCTCCGCTGAACATGTCCTTGAACAAAAAAACGAAAATATAAATTAATTACAAGCGCGCTTTGGAAATTTTTAAGAGGGAAAGCGGTTACCAGGAGCACAGCTTTGATGTTCGTCTCTGTGAGAGGGAACTCAAGGCCCCCCTTCTCTTTAACCGACAGAAGAACGTCTACAAGGTCCTCCTCCCTCTTCTCGGCTCCGAGGCCGGCCGAAGCTGCTTCAGCTGCTTCCCTTCTCGCACGGTGCTCCTCCATTCGAGGCCGGCCGAAGCTGCTTCAGCTGCTTCCCTTCTCGCACGGTGCTCCTCCATTACCTGATTCAGGATCCCATCGCCGTCCCCGTGAGCCTTCTTCATCTGTGAAGTCACCCCGGTGAGCGCGCCGAGGAAACCCAGGGATGGATACAAATCCGCGAGGTTGAACCCAGAGGCCAGCTCCTCCGTCTTCCTCAACGCGGATATGAACCTTTCTCCCCGCAGCGTTACTACTTGGCAGCTAAAGGCCGTCCTCGCATGATGACTGCGCGTCCGCTGAGGACGTGAGCTTCTCGCTGTAGGTTGCACGCCGAACCCGCCGCCGCGGTAGACGCTCCTGACAGGCCGGAGACCTCCTGCTCCCTCACGGGAACGGAACGCCTTGACCCGGACAGCGCTTGAAGGAGCTCGCAGGGCTGCAAATCTTCCCTCATCTGGCGCCAGTTAACCCGCCCTTAGGCGCGCGCAGGCCTAGATGTCCCGGTGTTGCCGTAGCACATGATGGCGGGCGCGACAGATGGGGGGCGGTGAGCCAGCAAGCTGAGGTCGCTGCGTTCTCCATGATCTCTTCGTGTGCGGCTTCGGCATGAGACGCGACGACCGTGGTCGATCTCCCCGCTGCTAGCCTGAGGCAGCATGAGATCACGCGCCGGCTCGTAGAGCATACGGCATCTAGGACCCTGACCCCGAGCTGTCTTAGTGGAGAGATCCCTGAGGACGTTGGTGAGGTGCAGCCGGCCCCGCCGATGATAGCTTGGTGTATGTTTGGCAGTGGATTCGGGAGCCTTCCGGTGGACCGGGCGGGAGTCTTCTGCTTGCCAGCCTTGCGCGCGCTGTCTCTTCCGGCGGGCTCCGCCGCGAAGGGCCTTGATTCCTGACCAGAACGAGGAGGGGGAGGAGGAGGATTAATGCGACGGTCAGGGAAAGGGAAGGATGTTGGATCTCCATGCCTGGGGTCGTGTGAAGCTGATCAGGCCAAGATATATAATTGAACGCACATTAATGTATTGATCACATCAAATCTGACGTATGGGAGGAAAATGACATATGTTTTAAAGTACTCATTGGATAAAGATCCCACAGCTTAGTGGAATAGTTTAATTTGTTCACACTTCACTATCATACTCTTCGATGTAGAAATACGGGACTACTAGTTCCGTATGTTTTCAAGAGCACTAATCTTTCAGAAAACATACGGGACTAGTAGTCCCGTATATTTTCGCGAGCACTAGCACATTGAAAACATAAATGACTACTAGTCCCGTATATTTTCTGGAATGTGTTTTTTAAAGTCGACATCTTTTTAGCCTGTTGATAAAAAAGAGGTCGATTTTACTAAATATTTAGCAAAATCTGTCTATTTTTTTAATAAAAAAATTCCTTAAAATAAATGTGGATAATTATAAGTATGGTATATAATTATCACCAACGGATTACTAAATTGTAGATAGCTTAAGCTTCTCCAAATTGTTGTACATTAAAAAACTGAAATTGGAATGTGCATGCAACAGATTACTAAATTAGCAGAGTACCTAATAACAAACATCATAAATTAAGCTCACGATCAAACTTACTGCAATGCACCGGAAAACATAAATAGTGTAATTAATAGTTTGAGGATATTTCGATTGTAGCTTTATTTTGGAATTTTTAAATTTTGATTGTAGCTTTATTAATGACATTTAGGTCCATATTTTAGGATTTTAAATTTGATTATAGTTTGAGGATATTTCGGTCCATAATTAATATTTGAATCAATTTGCATTATTTATTTGTTTCTTTCTTTGTTTGTTTGTTTATCTTGTTAGTTTAAAGACATAATGATCCACTTTGCACTTGTTTATTGCTAGTAATTTTGAAAGGGTGGTATTTATGAATTTGCTGATAATTTTTTTCCGGATTTACTTGCAAATTTTGTAATTTAGAATTTTTTAAAGCTCAAGTTCGTTTAGACTGTTAATCTATGAATTCGTTATTCTCTTGTATAACTCATATGGAATTTCCACATTTGAGATGGACTTATCTGTAAATCTGTAACTATTCTTCTGGGTTTGTTTGCATTCCTTGACCTCATACGACTCTCGGAGCCATGTAGGATTTTTTTTTTTGCAGTTACACGTTCCCGGACCTATTTGAAATTTCCAAATGTGTTCGACTTATTTTGAAAAATTATAACAGCTTATGATTCCTGTAACGTTTCGGCTTTTCCATAGAAAAATGATTTGCAAATAAAGATCATGCAAGTAGGTAATTATATATTATTAATTTTTTGTTTTGTTAAGCACAAATCACTCAACGTGAAGCTCGAGTACCAGCGGACGTGGACCAGAGGCGCACCGGCACTTGTACTTGGTCTTGATTTGGGATTCAACTCATTGTGCCGTTCAAACTTTACATATGCATGCACCTGTACATATATAGTAACTTGGACTTGCAGGGCATGAATGTATAATATAAATGCAAAGATATAACAAAGTCCACATATATAATGTACCCATTTTTCTTTTTTTTTTCTTTTTTTTTGTTAGATCTACATCATAAACTTGAGATCTAAAACCATATAACCATGATTAATTCAAAGAGATTAACAAGGATCTAAAAGAGCGGAAGCTTATACCTGAATCCATTGCTTGATCTTGATTTTGAGTTTTGGATCTTCTAACCTTAGGGTTCTCTCTAAAACCGAATTTCTCTAGCTAGATGGGGGTGTAGAGAATTAGAGAATGTAACCCTAGGTTAGGGACCATAACCCCTTATTTATAGATGTTGTACTTTTGTAATTTAGCCCCTCAATAAATTACAATTACAACCTGGTATCTGCACATATGACCCCATGATTATATTTAAATACCAAATTAACCCAACTTAATTGATCACTTTAGTGGGTTATCCTGAAAGATAGCAATACACATTGATTAATCATATGTGCCCACAAATAGATTTATTAGATTAAATCCAACAATCTCCCACTTGGGCACCATATGATTCCTTAAACTGTGTATAACCTTATGAGCTCAAAAATTGCTATCACTGAAATGGTATTTCCGAACAATCTCGTCCATTGACTATATCAATATAGGATCAAAGCGGCCTTCGTCACATTTATCGTGACTCGACCCATCAATGGTCACATATACCAATACAATCAAACGACATAGATCAATCATGGATGTGCAGCATGAAAATTACATGCAATGTGATCAGTACATGTCTATTTTCAACTGGTCCTCCTTAGTGAGGTCAAAACCAAACATAATGTAACAGAGTGTCTTAACTGAAAACTTTATTCTGATCAGACAATACAAACAAACATAAAGCACCACAAATACAAACTCCCACTAAAACATAATATCCTCAAATAATACCACACCCATATGAGCAGTATGCTCATGAAAGACCTTAGGTGGTAATCCCTTAGTAAGAGGATCAGCTATCATGGAGTTTGTCCCAATGTGCTCTATGGATATCTGTCCACTCTGTACCCTTTCTTTCACAACCAGGAACTTAATGTCAATATGTTTTGACTTAGTTGAGCTCCTGTTGTTATTGGAATACATTACTGCAGATTTATTGTCACAATATAACCTTAGTGGTCTTTCAACATTTTCCAAAATGCGCAGTCCCGTGACAAAATTTCGCAGCCATATTCCCTGATTGGATGCCTCATAGCAAGCTACAAATTCTGCTGCCATAGTGGAGGAAGCTACTAGTGTTTGTTTGACACTTTTCCATGATATAGCTCCTCCTGCTAACATATAAATGTAGCCTGATGTAGACTTCCTGCTATCTTGGCATCCAGCAAAATCAGAGTCCGAATACCCAATGACCTCTAATTTCTCTGATTTTCTGTATGTGAGCATGTAATCTTTTGTTTTCTGAAGATACCTCATAACCCTTTTGACTGCTATCCAATGATCCATACCAGGGTTGCTTAAGTATCTGCCTAACATCCCAACAATGTACGCAATATCCGGACGCGTACATACCTGAGCATACATTAGACTTCCTACAGCCGAAGCATAAGGAATCTTCTGCATTTCCTGAATTTCAAGGTTACCTTTAGGGCACTGATTGAGACTAAACTTGTCTCCTTTAGCAACAGGGGTGTCACCTGGTCTGCAATCTTGCATGCCAAACCTTTTAAGTACCTTATCGATATAGCTCTTTTGTGATAATCCAAGAATACCCCGAGAGCGATCTCGATGTATCTGGATCCCTAATATAAAAGAGGCGTCCCCAAGATCTTTCATCTCAAAATTCTTTGATAGAAATCTCTTGGTTTCGTGCAACATGCCTATATCATTAGTGGCAAGCAAGATGTCATCCACATACAGAACCAGAAAAATATACTTACTCCCACTGAACTTGTGATATACACAGTCATCAACAATGTTCATCTCAAAACCGAACGAGATAACTATTTGTTGAAACTTATGATACCATTGACGAGGAGCTTGCTTGAGTCCATAGATGGATTTCCTTAATTTGCAAACCATATTCTTTGGGTCTCCTGACACAAAGTTTTCTGGTTGCACCATATAAATCATCTCATCAATGTCTCCATTGAGAAATGCAGTCTTAACATCCATCTGATGTAACTCAAGATCATAATGAGCAACAAGTGCCATGATTATTCTGAAAGAGTCTTTCGATGAAACCGGAGAGAAAGTCTCTGTATAATCAATGCCTTCCTTTTGAGTATAGCCTTTAGCCACAAGACGCGCCTTATACCTCTCCACATTACCGTTTGCATCCCGCTTGGTTTTAAAAATCCATTTACAACCAATTGGTTTTGCACCTTCTGGCAATGGGACAAGTTCCCAAACCTTATTGTCTTGCATAGACTTATACTCTTCATTCATGGCATCAATCCACTGTTGAGAGTTAGAACTTTTCATGGCCTGAGAGAAGTTGATTGGATCATCTTCTAACATTCCACTACTTTCCTCATGTTCTTGGAGAAATACAATATAATCATCCGGAATAGCATTTCTCCTTTCTCTCGTGGATCTCCTTAATGGCACTGGTTCTTGAGGTTGTTGAGTTTGTTCTTCTGGAACAGGGAGTTGTTCAACATTATCATCTTGAGGTTCCGGATTTACTTCTTGAGCAACAACAGGTATAGGAACCTGAATATTGTCAAAAGTAACTGTATGGATTGGATCTGAAGCCAATTCCTCCTCAAAACTAATGTCTCTAACCTTATTTCTCCCCCCAAACTCAAC